CCCCCCCCCCGTGCACGAATTGCATGCACTGGGCCTCCAGTAATAGAATAACACACCCATGCCATTGCCATGGGATTCTACAGAGCCTTCCCTATTGTATGCGGGAAACGTATTTATATGTTTTACGTTGACTGGTAGTAAGTAGAGCGCGGGACACATATTAATACGTTTTTTTATAGACTAGCGGTAGAATGCGGGTAACGTATAAATACATAAACTAAAGTTATCGTAATTTTACTGAACGTTGCCATTTGCGCAAAAAATTAGCAAAAATGGCCCACGCCACCTGTTAGCGCGCGATAAAAACTACCCACAAACAATGTGTTAAGGCAGAGCACACTTCCTCATCCCACAGGCACTGGGCTTGGTCATATGACTTGCTTTAGGTAGAATATTAACAAATGTGATTTAAGCAAAAGCTGTAAATATTCGTGCATGGCCTGGCTTGGTCACTTGGCATTCATGTTCTCTGCCATGAGAAGTCTATGAGTCATACAGCCATTGTTTCTTTAGCCTAGTACCCAGAATAAGATACACTGAATAGATACAAACCTAATCTGAAGCCTGGAGACCAGCTGAGCCAGATCAATTGAACCTCAGCTAATCCCCAGTCCCAATGTAAAAAATAAATGTGAAAAAAACACTGAAATTTGGGGGTTGTTAGTATTATCATAATAAAAACTTGACTACTACACCCAATCTCATTCACCTCCCCATCTCCCTTCATTCTTCTGCTGATGCCTCCTATTGGCCAAACCCATGAAGGCAGGAAAACCCACTGATGCAGTCCACAAATATGTCCCAGAGAAGCAAAAGGAGAACTGTGTCTTGGTGGATGACCAGCCATTCAAGGAAAAGTAAGGATGAGATTTCAGGCAGAGACCAACATAAACAGACATGGAAGCAGGAAATAACATAACTATGTGCTGAGAACTCTTAAGCATCTAAAACATCACCAGAATATGTAAAGTTCATGGAGAGACAAAGAAGAAAGTTGGGGCCACAATCTTTCATGATAAACCAAAGACTTATCATCAGTGGAAAGGTTTTCCAAAGGCCCAAAACCTAATCTATTGCAATAGGTCTACACCCTCTTCCACCTCTGTATAATTGCACAACATAGCCTTTAAGAGATGCATTATGATACTTCATAGCATTGCAGTAAAACCAAAGAAAAAGGGTAAATATTAGTAATTCTGAACAGTATGCACCAGATCACTCATGGACAGGCAACCACACTTTCCTGGTATGAGATAAAAGAATAAAGGCCCTGACAGAACCTACCAGGGAATATACACACGCACAATCTCAAATGACACCTAGCTCCCTCAGCATCAGAAAGGAACAGAAATGTACTCACAAGTTCCATAGTAGGAAGCTTAACAAGTCCATCCATGCCCATAACTACTCTGAGGCATGGGTGAGAAACCAACTCCTCCATGGTTTCTCTCTCCAAATCAGGACTTGGATCCTGAGTCTCACAGTCCCAGGATTCCTTCAATTACTAAGGAGCCTATCTGTATCAACCAAGACATGTAGCCACTGTGTCTCTGTCCTTCAATCACTTAACCCTTGGAGAAAAGTCATTGGATTTCAGATCTCGAAGGAACTTTAGAGATCTACAATCCCTGATTTGGAGTAAGAAAACTAGTCCAAGGGAGCTATATGAAATTCTTATTGGTACACAATTTGTGTGGCCCTAAGCAAGTGTACAGGATAAGAACAAAGTTTCAAATTACTGCTTAGGTAGTAAAAATAAAGAACCGATAATTAATATACATTAGCCTTATTTAGTGTTCTATGCTAAACTTTAGAAAGATGTTTTCTATAATATATTCATTCAGAACACTGTGGTCATTTATAAATAAGGTTATAAAAATAAATTATTCCTATATGAAAGTAAGAATAATTTAATATCTAATAAAATGCAACTTCCCAAAGTCCCATTCTTGACACCATAATCCCCCTGGACCAATGATTCTCAAAGTCTGATACCTGCATAAAAATCACCAGGTGCTTATGGAAAATGCAGAGTCCAAAGGGACAACTCTAGAACTATTTGATTTCTAGAAGTTTGAAAATTTGCAGTTTTAACAGTTCCCCGGGTGGCTCTTACATGCCCTAAAGTTTGAGAACTGCTGCTATCGACAATCACCATATTCTCAGTGACTCACTCCTATAATCATTAGAATCTTCCTAAAGCTGGGATCAAGATTACCTTGCCGTCCTTCATCGTTGGTAAAGAGCCCTGTGTCACTGCTGCTACATACACTGCTGGTTTCACTGAAAAAAAAGAGAGTAAAACAAAGAGAACACATCAGCTCCAAATAAAAAGCACTGTCTAATGTTCTTCTGGTTTTCAAATCAAAAGTTTCCCTAATTTCATTAGCCAATCAGAAATGTAAATGTCATGGTTAAGTCATAGGGAAAAGTTTATTAAAAAGAATTCTAAAATTTTTATTTATATCTCTAAGTACTTTAAAAATATCTGAAGCCACTTTGTTAGTTTAGCATTAGAAAGCTATTTATTAAGGCTCATAGAAATAACCTCAACCTGTTGTGGTATATTAAACAACATAAATTTACAAATTTATCAACTAATTTTATTTTTTCAGTATTACCAACTATCAGTTTTAAATGAAGCTATCTAACTTTAAGACATCTAGCATCTCTCAAGTGTTTTCTCCCATTTACAAAGCAGCAAGCAAAAACCCATAAATGGGGGTGAGAGGTGGGGAAATCAGTATGACAAGTTATTATTTTCTAAATTTAATGTCTTCCTTCATATCAAGCATATACAATAAAACTCATTTTCAAAAAGGAAGTTAAGATATAAAAATATAAAAACAAACTCCATTCAAACTCATTGAAATAAAACAGTGGTTCTCAACCTTCTGGCCCTTTAAATACAGTTCCTCATGTTGTGACCCAACCAAAAAAATTATTGCTACTTCATAACTGTAATGTTGCTACTGTTATGAATCATAATGTAAGTATCTGATATGCAGGATGGTCTTAGGCGACCCCTGTGAAAGGGTCGTTCGACCGCCAAAGGGATCGCGACCCACAGGTTGAGAACCGCTGAAATAAAACGGTTGCTGCATAGAATTCCATCTAGTAAATTTCTTTTTCTGAGCTATTGCTAACAATTCATTCTGCCTCTTCTGAGGTTGTATTTCTTTCATCTAATCATTAAATTTGATTTATCTGGTTCAAGAAAAATTCTCTATTCTTTATATTAGCTGTTTCCATGACTGGGAGTATTTCCTTCCGAGGCAGTTAATTTTTTTCACCTGCTCTAGAAGATGGAAGAAACCAAAACAAGGAGAAACAGTTTCACCATGCTGCATAAGGCTTGGGGAAATCCCAACCTACATTTCTGGACCAAAAATCTGAAAATATTTTGTATTTTGCAATACTTCCAAATATTTTGGCAATACTAAATCCTAAAAATGTTGAGTAAATTAAGTAGCAATGCTCTCCTCACTTAAGCTTGTCTCTGAATTATAGACCTAAGAGATTTGTTGCAGCAAGAACCAATAAAACATATCCAGTTTCTTTAAAGGTCCTTTCATTTTATTTTATTGTGGGAACATTCTCAGGTGTCATTGTAAGAAATGTCTTACAAAACTATACCACTGGATTCTGATGGATTTAGAATCTTCAAAGATTAATTTTCAAAGATTCTGCAGTTAAATCCAAAAGACATCCTCACAGACTACTGCATTCTTCCTACTTCTCAGCTCAAAGAACTGTGCTGCTGAACTTACTTTACTGGCTTTGTTTTTGTATTTTTAGCAAATTCCTAAAAATATTACTGGCCTAACTCCATTGAGTCTTAACTACATACACATCCTATCATATTACTACTTTATTGTTATTTTACCTAGAAAATAAAGCAAATTTTATATTTTTAACTCCTCTTGATATGAAGGAGGGTGGGCCATGGGACAGATATTCTGTTCTACCATCGTGTTATAATCTTTATTGGCTAGCAGTAGCACTAACCGAGACTTAGGGGTTAGCAAACAACAGCCAGTTACCTACTTTTGTTTGGTTTTTAGTTTTATATACCTGTGGGGCGGGGGTTGTCAAAAGAACATCGTGTGAGATGTGGAAATGATATGAAATCCAAACTTCAGTGTTCATAAATACAGTTTTATTGGAATACAGCCACACTCATTCATTTATATATGGTCTATGTCTTCTTTCACACCACAAATACAAAGCTGAGTAGTTGCAACGGAGAACAAACTGCCCACAAAGCCCTAAATTATTTACTATCTGGCTTTTTACAGCGGAAGCTTGCTGATCCCTGCTCTACATGTATTACAAGTTCAACTCTGCAATGTCTGTGGTCCCCTCTGTTTAAATATTTCCAATTAAAAAATTAAAACTGTTGCTTTATTACAAAATCTATCAATTCTTTTCTCTATTCTTGCCCAACCACTGGTAAGTACAAGATACAGTGCTTCCTTAGTCCTTTTTTTCCATGGATTTCATTCTCTCCTCATATTCTAAATAAAGGAGACAAGCTCAAAGAAAGATGTTGGGTGAAGAAAGGTGTTGGTAACCTAAAACCTTCCTGTCACTGTATATTTTCTACTTTTGTCAACAGCATTTAAGGAGACTCGCTGTTCTTGAAAGATTAGCTTGCATTAATCTCTTCTATAAATTTCTATATGCAGTTAATTAGAGTAATGGTAATGATATCATATAGGACTATCACCAGGGTTTTAAGGTTATGATCAAAGGAGGTATTTTCTTTACCAGGAAAATGACTTATGTCTTGCAGAACACTTATTACATAAAAGTATCATCATTCCACCAGTACCTGGAAAGGACTATTCCATTTGATAGCATCTGCTAAATCTATCCCCTCAGAAGCACTTGTATTGTAGAAATCTAATGATATGTAAGAAATTTCTTTATAGCATAATTTACCAAAAAGAAAAATACCAGGAAGTTCATGGCATATTTGCATATAAACACTAGGATACAACATGCAAAATGTAGTGCTAGCTATAAAGTAGAACCAAATATTTCCCCTTCCAAGTCATAGGCCACAGTTGTCCAGTCCTGCAGCCTTCCTTCATTTATGGCTCAGAGATTATGATTTTAAAATAAAATCATCTCCAAAGAGTACATACAGATGGCCAATAGACATATGAAAAGATGCTCAACATCACTAATCATCAGAGAAATGCACATTAAAAATGCAATGAGCTCTCATCTCATACCTGTCAGAATGACTATCATCAGTAAATCAACAAACAAGTGTTGGTAAGGATATGAAGAAAAGGGAACCCTAATGCACTTGTAGGAATACAGACTGGTACAGCCACTTTGGAGAACAATATGGAGGTTACTCAAAAAATTAAAAATAGAAGTGCTTTATGACTCAGTAATTCCACTTCTGGGTACATATCTGAAGAAACTCAAATTCGAAAGAATATATGCATCCCTACGCTCATCGTAGTATTCTTTACAATAGCCAAGCTGTCCATCAATAGATTAGTAGATAAAAAAGCAGTAGTACAGCCCTGGCCAGTTTGGCTCAGTGAATAGAGAATTGGGCCTGCAGACTGAAGGATCCTGGGTTCGATTCCAGTTGGGGGGGTGGCACGTGCCCAGGTTGCGGGGCAGTGCAGGAGGTAGCCGATCGGTGATTCTCATTGGTGATTCTCTCTCATCCTTAAAGTTTCTGTCTCTCTCTCTCTTTCCCTTTCTCTCTGAAATATATATATATATGCGCTGTAGTATACACATACAATGAATTATTACTAGGACATAAAAAAGCATAAAATCTTAGCATTTGGGACAGCATGGATGACCTAGAGCAGCGGTTCTCAACCTGTGGGTCGCGACCCCTTTGGGGGTCGAACGACCCTTTCACAGGGGTCGCCTAAGACCATCGGAAAACACATATATAATTACATATTGTTTTTGTGATTAATCACTATGCTTTAATTATGTTCAATTTGTAACAATGAAAATACATCCTGCATATCAGATATTTACATTACGATTCATTACAGTAGCAAAATTACAGTTATGAAGTAGCAACGAAAATAATTTTATGGTTGGGGGTCACCACAACATGAGGAACTGTATTAAAGGGTCGCGGCATTAGGAAGGTTGAGAACCACTGACGTAGAGGGTATTATGCTCAGTGAAATAAGCCAGTCAGAGAAAAACAAATACCACATGATTTCACTTATACGTGGAATCTGAAGAACAATATAAATGAACAAAACAAAACAAAACAGATTCATAGATACAAAGAACAGACTGACGGTTGCCAGAAGAGAGGGGAATAGGGAACTGGGTGAAAAAGGTGAAGGGATTAAGAAGTACAGGTTGGTAGTTACAAAACAGTTATAGGTATGTAATGTATAGCATAGGAAATATAGTCAATAATATTGTAATAACTATGTATGGTGCCAGAAAATGAAACTTACTGCATGGGATTCTATGGGACCAAAGCAACTGAACCACATCCAACTGAAATAACCAGATGACTGGGCATGGCACCCACTTTCAAAGAAGTAGATTATCATAGGAATCAAGCCTAATAAAACACTATTAATACCTCTTGTCCACTTAATTAATTCCAGGGCAAACACTGTTAGCTAAACATTGTAAACTTTGGCACTATTTTAAAATGCTCTCATCTGAACTGTTTCTATTTCCAAGTTGTGAAATGAACTGTTTGCCCTTTTGAGGAGCAATTAGAAGGTATTGTTTTTAAATTGGCAAAAACTCTTAGTTTTTAAACTACATTATTTTTATTCTATAGAATAGATCAATGTTTTGGCCTTACAAAGTTATCTAAATTTGCCCTGGCTGGGTAGTTCAGTTGGTTAGAGTGTCATTACGAAATGCCAAGGTTGAGGGTTCAATCCCCAGTCAGAGCACATACAAGAAGCAACAAGTTAATGCATAAGTGGAACAACAAATCGATGTCTCTCTCCCTTCCTCTCTCTCAAATCAATAAATTAAAAAACTAAACAAAACAGTTCTCTAAATCTGAAACTCGTGCTTGTTGGAAAAAGCAGAGTCACTGAAGTAAAAAGCCAATCTCAGTACCAGAAACATCTAGAGCAGTAGTTCTCAACTGGAGGCAATTTTGGCCCTTACAGACCCTGGGGGCCATCTGGCAATGTCTGGAACCATTTTTTTGTTTGTCTGTTTGTTTGTTTGTCTGTTTGTTTATTTGTCAGGACTTAAAGAGAGGAAAGGGGAGTTGATGTCCTTCTGGCATCTACTGGGTAGAGGCCAGG